AAAGGAAATACTGAGAATTTCAGTGAAGCTCTATAAACTGGAAGCTTTAAGAACCTCAAAGCGGTTCTTTTAGCATCCGAGATTTTTCAAGAACTTTTATGAAGTTCCTAGAATTTCAGAGAACTTGAGAAATTTAGAAAATTTGAGGGGTATTGTGCAAATTTTTAAGAAGTTCTAAGCACTTCAGAAAAGCTAGATAGATTAAAACTCTATAATCGTAAATTTAGATAAATTCAAGAAAGTTCCATAATGTGCTGAAAAACAAATCGAGAACCCTTAAGATGTTCCGCGAATTTCAGGGAAGTACAGATGCCTTCAGATAATTTATGAAAACTTCAGAAACTTCACAGAAGTCCAGAGAATTTCAGGGAAATTTAAAGGTGTTTACGGGAATTCAGTTTATTTCCTAGCAGAACCGAGATCTTCAATATAACCAAGAAAACATCAAGACAGGTCAGAGAATCAAAGGGCAGTTCAAATAATTTCAAGAAAATATTATAAACCTTAAAAAAGTTTCGAGAAACTCACCGAATTTCCTAAAACTTCAGCAAAGCTCCGAGAGAATTCCAAGAAATTTTATGAACATCCGGAATATGTGAGAATATTTTAAGGGTGTTATATCATGGAGATTTAAAGAACTTAAAAAATGCGAAAATTTAGCTAAGTTGATTAGAGAACATTAACGATGTTCAATTAATAAAAAAGCGAGAACTTTTAGCAGGCAGCGATATCTTCAAGAAATTCCAGAGAACTTAATTTAGATATTTTTAGATAGTGATGTTCAGCGAAGTTCCGAGTTCTTCCAGGACGATCAGATAGCTTCAGAATAATCCCACTAACGTAAGCAAATTTGCAGCGACGTACAAGGAGTTCCTTAGCTTAGCTTAGCTTAGCTTAGATTACAAGGAGTTCCGTGGAATTATAGGGTTTTCCAAGAATTATGATTGATCCTAAAACGTCACGAACTATGATTGATCCTAAAACGTCAGAAGCGTCAGGGAATTATAAATATATATATATATATATATCAGAAAATTTGCTGGATTATTAAACAAATTTAGAGAACAGGTAAGCATAGATAAGTTCAAGGAAAAGCGAGTGTTAATAATGGTTATAATATTTAAGGAACATTTTCGAAACTTCAAGGCAAATTAAATAATTTCAGTAAAGTTGCTGGTTCTAAAATCAACTGATAAATTCAGGGCAGTTTAGAGAACTTGAAAGAAATTCAGTAATCTTTTAGGCACCAGGAAAGTCTAGACTATTGTAGAAGTTTTAAATTAATGTCGATACTCTAAGGGAAGTTTTATGAACTTGGAAAATCTTGATTATTAACTATATTCATTATTTCGTTCTAATTCCATAAAAATTGTGGGAGCACAAAAGTTCCAAAAATTTAGAAAAACTTCGGAAACTTCACAGAAAGACTTCACAGAATTGACAGATTAATCTACTGTGAATCTTTAAAGTACAATGTGTAAATGGAAATAACGAGAAAAATTTAATGGTTGTATTTTAAAATTCATTATTTTCTTTAAAACATCCTTAGTAAGAAATTTTTTGAATTCTTTGAGACTTCCAGGTATTTTAAGGAAACAAAAATTTTCCTGAGGATTCCCGGTTTTCCAAATTTTGAAGTTAGTAGACACCGTAGTTTGGTTATAAACTTTCTATTGAATCTTTCGATTTAAAGGTTCATATCGTACATAAGTGTTCATGAGATAATAATTGAATGAGTCTAAAACATCAAACATTTATTTGATGCGCCTTCTCTTAGGTCACTCTTAAGTCACTATTTTTACAACTATAAGTCACTATTTGGTCACTTATTTATTCAACATGGTCACTAAAATCACTATTTCTGACAGCAGTGATCGCTACCAGCCCTGTGACAGCAAACCGTTCCTCTCATTTTCAAGTGTAGTTAACACAATGTGGACACAAGTGCGCGATTTATTTCGATAGTCATGTGGAAGCTATTTAAGTACCATAATTGAGCTATATTTTTGGAATGCTGTCGGAAAGTTCAGTGCAATATAACAGTCAAAACACAGAAATACAAACGTGAAATACTTCCGACGTCGTCGCAGCTCACTTCTACCTGGAGCTATTCCTAAAAAGCTCCTCTACCTTGTCTCTACTGCTGTCGCTGCTTGGGATTAGAAAGGCAGGCAGTGAATTTAGAAGAACTAAAATGCCGGAAATGCAACAAATGACACTGACTACATTTAACCAATTAGGCTATCAAAATTTTTGAAGTGCATTGCTGATTTGTGGAGTAGTGTTAAGCTAAAATAAGACTTGTTCAGTCTTTAGATTAGCTATCTTATTGAGGTTGAATTATGGGGATACAATTAGCTTCATGCACTACTAATCAACTATATATTCAGCCTGCTGTTAATCAGCTTTGTACACCTTAAATCAACCAATAATCAGCTTCTGTTCTTACTGTTCAGCTTGAATTGTTACTTGGGATGGTTTTGAACATTTCAAAAGTTTGCATTTTTCATAAGCTTTTTTTATTAATTTGGCAAAAACTTTTTGAGATAATTATAAAAAGACTGTTTAGATTTTACTTTAAATAAATTAATATATTTTTTTTTTATTTCTCCGGAAGACATATTTTTGTTCTCTAAAACTTAAGTATTAACATTTGTAACTCTATAACTAAACCGTTGGTCTCGGCCCTTGTGTTGATGGGTTCGATAAGTTCCAGGTGTGAAATTCGTCTCCCTGGCACTCGATTGCCGCTGGTGATTAATCACCAATTGGTAATGACCGCTCGTGATTGGCACTCGGTGGGCGGAACAAAAATAACGGTAAAAAATATGACTAGCAAAGGATTAAATATTCGAAACTTTAGCACCCACCGCCTTCAACCCATTCCCATCCCAAACGCTTTAAAGTCAACAACAAGCACCGATTCCTCTGATTTGTTTAGCAAAACAAAAGCGAGAACTGACTGGCACGGTAGATGCCATTTCACGCATTGATAAACTTCCAAACAGTGAGCAAACTTTTCATTCCGACAAACAAAAACATGCCGGCTTTCATTGTTTCTCCTCCGGGTAACTTTAGAAAATCAGTTTTCCGAACCACTGTGAGCTACCACCGAAGCCAGCAGCGCAGACCCAGCCGTGTGCTCTGAGAGTCCTCGGGCTCTTTCCGAAAATCGAAAGAGAATAATAATCTGTTAATTAGATTTCCACTGAACTGCTGAAATCGTTTGCAAATAATATTCGTGCGAGTATCATTCCCATCTGGGCCTGGCGCCCGGCACCGTCGGCTATGATTAGACGCTATCCGCCGTGATAGATACGTGTTTGATATTGTGGCACGCGTGAATTCACTGTAACCACGATGAACCCCGTCGACGACCGACGCAAATCATGAAATTCTCACGAGGTCCTTCTCCCTGCTGAAGCCGACCGAAAGCTCGCTGGAGTGGGAACCCGAAAAACATTTCCCAGAATCGGGAAACAATTGAAAGCACTGACGGGGAACCACCCACGTCAAACCAGAAAACAGCGGGAGAGAGAAAGCGAAAGTGAATGATGGGTACCTAATTTCTCAACCCAGCGGGAGTGTGTCCTTTGGAGCTTGATAAAAAATGCCAAGAACTTGTCAGTAAAATCGATCCTTTCTTCCACTCGCGTGCCTTCTTATGGGTTCTGGTTATGTGCGTTTGCCTCGTGTCGTTGAGGCGGTGGTGGTGGTGGTAAACAGGTGGTGTGCGGTTTTTGATAATGTTGACGATGATTGGCCTGCCAACCAATAAATATCAAAGCTGAGGCAACGCTAAACGGTTCAACCGGTGAATGACAAAACAAACGACTAAGGGAGATAGAGGCTACCTACGTTTTCTGGCCGTGGATCGTTCCCGTGTGTCACACACAGCTTCCTGTCCGTTCAATCGAAATTGTTTCCAGGAGTTCACCGAGCACCTTTAACCCGTTATTGGCCTTTAGTGCTTCCGTTGTTTCCTGCCTCCTTGCAAATCATTTGACATTTTCCGAAAAGGCTGGTAGCAGGTCACTTTTTAGTGACTTGGTCACTATTTTCAAGTCAGTCACTGAAAAGTCACCAACGTCACTATTCATTTTAATTTAGTCACTTAAGTCACTTTTTTACTACAAATGCACACTAGGCCAGGAATGCAAGCGGATCAAAATGAATAACTCCGAAACGAAGCATTTTCGCGACTTGGTGCATTCGGCAAAGTTTCTCTTTATAATAAGGACCATCTATTGACATAAACAAATCGTTCAAAACTCTTCCGCAAAGATGGCGCCACAATCTAAGTTCTTTCTGTGACGTTTTGGAGACTTAATGTCTCCGGCAAAATTGTTTATCTTGATAAAATAAACAACTCTTTTCACACAATCTCGCAATGATCATAGATGTATCACAGATTGTCAGAGGTTTCGAAAAAGTTCCAGCCCTATGACTATTCAACACTCAACCCTTTTGGTTTAGAGCTAGAGTCTAACTTTTTTTCATGATGAGATAGAAAAAAATATTGTTACATATAATTGTTTTCAAGAATCTATGAAAAAACGGTTTTTCTTGGATTTTTGATATCGTTTTCCAATAGTTTTAGAAAAAACCAAAACAAGGCAGAAAAAAAATTACCGCTAAATATGGCTTCTTGAGCAAAGTCAAGAGCACTTATATCTCAAAAACCATTTTAATTGCAGTTTCAGATACAGCAAACCTTAATTTACTACAGCGCTATATTACTCAAATTAGTTTCAAATTTCAGTAAATTCAGTTTCAAATCCATCCTCAGTTTGCTTCGATTCACCCATGAACGGAAACAAGCCGAAAAATTCGCGCGCACGCAGTAGGCGTCACGTGTGCGCGCGCGCGCGAAGCCGTAAACCGCGTTTCCATGGAAACGCGAGTCCGCGAGCGCTGCCCACCAAACCACGCTCGCGAAAAACACGCCATTTTAACCGCGTCGGTGTTCTTGTCCGGTGGCTCGTGATCGATCGAATCAAAACATCAAATTCGCGCGATGGAATACAATCTGCGGACCGTGACCAAGTCCTACGGAAAGTACAGACATCTTCGGTTCCCGTTGAAGATTTGGATCCTGGTAAATGCTAGCGGGAACCGTTTTCTCTACTGGGATTCGACGGAAACCGTCGTCGTGGTGGACCGAGATGCCACGGAGCAGTATCTGAAATCGAGTGGATCGATTTTCTGCTGCCACAAGCTGGCGACCTTCTTCTGGCTGATGGATTTCAACGGATTCGAACTGGTGAGTGAGTACGGGGACGACGAAGACGAGGACAAGCATATTCTGCTGTACAAGCATTCGTCGTTCACACGGGAAAATCGTGCGTACTTCGAACAGTTGCTTCGAAGTCAGAAAGCACGCGAGGTTATCAACCAGCAGAACGGGAATTGTTCCGTTCATCGGGCGAAAATTCCAAAGAGCGTGAAACAATGCGAAGCGGATGGAACCAGCGGCTCCCAGTCCCGCCTCTCGTCCAGCAGCTTTGCCCAGGAAAAGTTCAGTCTACTGATGGAAATGAAATCGTTGGATGTGTCGATTCGTGAGGCCTATGCAAGTTTGCCGAAGGGTGAGGACGACGATGAAGTGATTCCGGTCATTGAGGTACCGGATACGTACAGTGACAAACCCGCAACCAGTGTTCCGGAATATACCGAGCAGCGGATCATCGCTGGCAACTATGGACGAGGCAATCCGAATGATCTGAAGCGATTTTTCGGGAACTACCTTCCGGTGTACGAAGACTCCCCCGGTATGACGCTTCATTCTTCTAAAGGCGTTTCTTTGTTTCTAAATCAACGTTTTCATTTTCCAGAGATGGTCGATGCTGCACCATCAGAAGAAAAAGTAGCACAAGCTTCGGAACCGACAGAAGTAGCAACCGACGAACCACTGGAGGAAGTGGTTACGGTTTCACCCGAAACATCAAAAACGGAACCGGCCAACACGCTGGCCACTTTCGACTATCAAGATGACGATGGGATGATGGATCTGGAGAACTTTAAGCCCACAATCGGTGACGATATGCCGTTTTTGGGTGCTGGTGCAACGGATGAAGAGGAGCTTGCTCAGGTTAAACACGATACCAAGTGCAACACCGAACCAACGGAGGAGGCACAGTTTCAGCTGTATTCGGATATTCGGGAGACGTTTGATTTGCTGAATGAGTTTTGAATGGTATATATTGTTGAGTGTATCTTAATTGAAAGATATCAATAAAGAAATTTTTGAATTTGAAACAAGACGGTCGTATTTGGCAAATTATTGTTCTGTTTTAAAAGATGTCATCATCATCACATCGATTGGTTCGAATTCTTTATCAAAAATAAATGGTATTGGTATTCTCGTCACCTTCAGTTTTCAATTGGCACGTGGATTGCTGGATTGCTTATACTGAATGTTTAATTTAAAAAAGGCTGTTTGTTAAGAGAAGATGCTTAAATGACGTAGTATTTTAGGGCAGGGTTACTTCCACTCACTGCTATAAAAAAAATGTTTTTCAGAATTATTAAATCATGAGATGGCAAAGTGATAATTAGTACTTGTAAGTTACAAGATGAGGACGTGAAGTATGTGTTTGACACATAAAATCTGTCAATATTGCTTTCAGTGCGTCACAATCAGCAATTTTACGACTCGTGAGTGCTCACTCTGAGTGAACGCTCACGAATCATAAGATCGCTTATTGTGACGCTCTGAAAGCAAAATTGGCAGGTTTCATGAGTCAAACACATACTTTAAACCCTCTGCTCGTTACTTACAAGTATAGCATATCATTATATCATCTAATGATCGCATAATCCGAAAAATATGTTTTTATAGCAAGTGAGTGGAAGCAACCCTGTTTTAGGGTGACCAGTAGACTGATGCAAAATTTGACTTTTTCGCCCCACAGTGCTTAAATGGTTTCAAATCGGGTCCTGATTAGCCACCCAAAGTTACAACTCATTTGGTTAGAAACAGACTTCGCACAAGCCATTTGAAGTTTACATGTAAATTACTATGGGAAATCTCAACTTTCTGTTCATTGCCTTCTAGTCTTTTTGCAAATTGAGCTACGAAACAGTTCAATAGCCATTCTTATAAACAATTTTCTCAGCTACAACTTTGCTGGAGATCGTTTCTATGTAAAACGAGACAGGAAAAAGTTATTAATTATTTAAAAGGTTGGTAAACTTATGACATGATCAAGCAGCTGCTCTGTAGGCAACACTGTATTTTGCAGTGTGACATAGTAGCCATGAATTTTGTGTCCTATTCAACGCCCCAGAAACACCAATGTTGCCTGCTGAGCAGTTGATTGAGCATGATCATAAGACATCAGCGCATTGAACCATTGATAACTTTCGATCCTTGTATTTAATCAAAATGTGGTCTTCAGCAAAGTTGTAGCTGGGAAAATTTCCTACAAGCACAGTTGAAAATTTTTGAAGCAGACTTATATGGTGAATTATTAGGTAGACATAAACAAAAATCTTGGTTTTACCATAGTAATTCCCATGCAAACTTCAAATAGTTTGTGCCATCTCAGTTTCTCACCAAATGGGTTCAAATTTTGAGAGGTTAGTCAGGATCCGATTTGGAATCGTTTAAGTATTGTGGAGCAAAAATTTCAAAATTTGCATCACTCTAGTGACCAGCCTTGTAGAAAAATACGCTACAAAGGGAGAGGGACCAAATTTTGTGCTTCATGAAACGTAAACATACGTTCAACCTAATCCTGATGAATGTGGGCGGCTTAATGGAATACCTGTATATTATACTAGCTCATGTAAAATTTCATGATCTTAACTCCAGGAAAATTAGGAGATCCGGAAATACTTTGCCACTACGACTACATAAACCACATGACATTATAGAGGCGTACAAAGTTCCGCGGGATCATACATTTAATTGGGACAATAGACAATATCTATTCGAGTCGGTAGAACATCAAGATCTGAATTTTCGAATAACGAAGAGAATGAAGGATATGTTTTCTACACAACTATATGTCTCACATCAGACATAACATTTGGCGTACTTTGGTTCGTGTGTAAAGGGCCTTAGAAAGTTTGTTTACAAATGCTTTTGTGCCGTTATCAAATGTTATGCCATGATGTTAAGTGGCCTTACTAAGCGCTATGGATTTGTATATTTAATCAGGACATCGACAATACATTGTTAAGCCTTTACACCATCAAGGATTTAAACTTCACGGTAATTTGTTCACCCCAAAATACCTTGTAGTATAACTATCTATCGCACATGATATTATGAAGTTCGACAAAGCTCTACGGGTTTAAATATTTAGTGGGGACATCGTAGAATACCTTGTTGAGTAAATCATTAATATCCGAACTTCAGGATTATTTGGAGAACTCAAAATACTTTGGCATTCCAACTGTATAAATACTCAACGTGATAATATGGGGCTCCACGAACGTTTACCGGTTTTGAAATTTATTCGAGTCATAGTAGAATGCTTTGTTGACTCTGTAGAACTACAAGATCAGATCTTCGGGATGATTGGGTGAATCCATAATATGTTTTGACGTAGGTCTACGTCTGTGATTTCTATATGGGGTACACTTTGTGAAAACCGAAATGGAACATGTAACAAAATTACTAAAGATTTTGAACGTTAATAACTCAGCTACCCCTGAACCAATTTCAATAATTTTATCATCAATCGAACAGAAATATTCCATCTGTTCAATTTAAGACTATATCATTTTTCAGAATGTCACTATTGAAAATTGAACGAATGTGCAACTGTTGCTATGATAATTAAAATTATCACCGATTGCCTGCGAAAAGTGATTTTCCTAACACAGATTTCAACGTTGAATTCCATCCGGTCTCACCAAACGGTGTTTATTCAATCACCACGTGGTGAGTGGTGGTGTTCTCCAGTACACAACGAAAGGCTGTCTGCAAGTAGCGAGCTGCAGCCCACATGACCGTTCATAGAAGGAGGAAGAAGCCGCACCGCTATTGATCGGAATCATTAGCTCTTCGTGAGTCGCTGTGGGCCATCTATGTCAAGCGCGTCATACTAAAGAGTATAAACAGAGTTCAAATTCCTATTCCTATACAACACACAAGCTCCTGCTGCAGTTTTTATTATATAAGACCACATAGTCCTACGTTACTATTGCGTACAACACCATAGGGCGGCTGTCCCTTGTAGTTTTAAATTCAGTTACATATCTCACATGATGTTTTGAGGTTCCACACAGCGCTAAGGGTTTAAAAAATCAGTTAAGATCTTAACTCCAAGACAATTGACAGAATGGTAGATATTTTGATAGTTGCACTACATGTTATCTGCTCATCTATTTTTTCGATTGCTTTCTATTTTTCTGTTTTCTCAGACCCTGATCTTCATTATTTTGTTTTAACAACTGTTCGATGTCTCAGAATTTTAAATGATATTTACCAAATACTGGATCTTGAAATTCTGTACCTGTGTCTTCATATATAATAATTATGCAATGTTTCATGTTAATCGGAGCAGGTCAAGTCTGAAATGATATTTTCCCTAGAAATGCTACGCGCATGCAAATCGGAGATTTTTTTTTGCCATTTGGCTTGGAACCAGTGCATTTGATCATTTTTGATGAAAATGAGAAAAGCAGTTATTCGCTATCAAAGAGGACCTCCTCCGGATGGGTGGTATCAGTTGCTTAGTCATTTGACGAAGGCATGGATCAATTTCATTTGAAAAACGCTATATATCATTCAATTGAGTGTAACCTACACACAAACGGAGTTCTGGTCGACATTCCGGCGAAAAAGCTAAGCCAACCCGACACCAACCTGACTTCTATCGAAACCCAACCCGATGTTGACCCGACATTGACCCGACAACAACACGACATTGGGTCAACATCGATCTTAAATTAGCCCTACATTGATCCGACATCGGGTCGACTTGTCTGTTCGGGACGATTTTGCTGGATTTCTTCCATACTCCACTGTCCCTTTCCTTTATTTAACGTCGGTCTCTGTTCCGCAATCTAGTGCCAATCACCGACGGACATCGATTGCCATCCATTGACGGCAATCGAATGTGCAGGAAGGCAGCTTCCACACCTGCGTAGGATATCGCACCCATTCACAACACACATGGGCCGGGACCAACGGCTTTACTTCCCTTCCGAAGGAAGACGTGACCAGAGATTTTTATGCCTCAGAAAAATCCCACCGACCTCGGCTGGGATTGAACCCAGACCCATTGGGGTGTTAGAAAGCAGTCAATGGTTGTATTGGTTCATCTTCAATCGAATGATATGAAAATTTACAGCACTGCTTGGAACTGCTCTATTTTCATATTTTTTGCAGCGTTGCCAGATATACTGATTTATCGATTTATATATAATTTATACCAATGATTGTAATAATCAGAATAATTTCTTCCTGTCGGCTCAAATGTCAGAGAAATCTATTGTGAATCTGTTTATGAATATCTCGATTTGTTTGAGCTCGCTAAACAAATTATTCATCTCTGAAAATGTCTTATGCTTGATACTCTTTCGATTAGTGTTTCCATTTCTTACCGTTTTTGGCTACCCTGGAATCGAGAAATACTTTTATCCAGTGACCAAATAGGTCAATGTTATTTTTTTTAACTTCCTAAAGTTTATTTAATTTTCCCTTGGAAGTTGCAATTTTCTTCCACCTTTGGTAAGTTATTAAACATTGTGCTAATTTTTCCTAGAAGATTATTCCGATTTCCTCCGGAACTTTATTTCGGCAATCCCCCAGAAATTTCTTTCTCTCCGGAATATTACCTAGAAGTTTATTTCGACTGTTCCGTACGCCCTCTGGTTTTCACCGGAAGAAGTTTCCAACTTTATCCAGAAGTTTCTTCCAAACTACCTTTGGAAGTTTCTTCTGTGTTCTCCAGGAAGTTTCTTCCGTGTTCTCCAACCAAACCGACAGTATCTATTGAATTCTCCCAGAAATTTCCACTGCCTTAAGTTTGTCAACTCCTCCGGAAGTTGTTTTTTACTTGTATTGGAAGGCTTTTTAGAGCTTCTCATATCTTCCCCATGGAAGTGACTACTCCTAAAATTTTCTGAAGCTTTCTGGCTACCTCTCGATATGTCATTCGGTTTGTTTCCGTAAGTTTCTATATATCGTCTCCTGAAGGTTCTCAACAATTTTCCATCGTATTCTCCCTGAAGTTTATTTTGT